GAAACTTTAACTTTGAGGAGTTGCTTCTTATGGATGAGCAAAGAAAGTAAGTGGTATCTTGAGATGGAATCTACTCATGGTGCAGCTGCTGTGAGCATTGTTGAAATGATGACAGGGATTTAAAATATTACATAATATTTTACAGGTGACAATGCAGAGGCAGGGTTTAAGAGGACTGACTCCAATTTTGAAAGAAGTTCTATTGAGGATAAAATGCTATCAAACAGCATCACATGCTACAGAATAATTTTTCATGAAAGGAAGAGTCAATCAATGCAGCAAACTTCATTGTTGTGTTATTTGAAGAAATTGCCACAGCTACCTCAGCCTTCAGCAACCATGACCCTGATCAGTCAGCAGCCATCAATATCGAGGGAATACCCTACAGCAGCAAAAAGACTACAACTCACTGAAGACCCAGGTGACCAGAAGCATTTTTCTGCAATAAATTATTTTTTAATTTAGGCATGTACATTATGTTTTTAAACATAATGCTATTGTACACTTAATAGACTATGCAGTACATAACTTTTATATGCACTGGAAAACCAAAAAATTCATGTGACTTGCTTTATTGCAATATCTGCTTTATTGCAGTAGTCTAGAACCAAACTTGCAATATCTCTGAGGTATGCCTGTATAAGGTAGATGTTTTATCTTCCACTACATGTTCCAATCACACTATTGTGCAACCAAATATCAAAAATATAAAAAGACCATACAGAAAAAAGTAAAAAGTAAAAAAGGGTTCACAACTGGAAAAATATAAATTGACCAGCATATTATTGGTTGTGCCTACTGTACATAAAAAGGACTCAGAAAGAGTAAATACTGACATTATTTGTAGATCCTGAATCATCTAACTGATGTTTCCTGAAACACATTCCACAGAACTCTAGTCTCTCAAGATTCTTGTGAAAAAGAGCAAACTTCGAATAACTGTGGTGAACACTGACTACTATATCCAATACTTTACCCACTTTGGAACTTCACAATGCATATTAAAACATCAAAGTTCTAACAAGTCTCACAGTAAAGAAAACTGCTTAACTTTTATTAACCCAGTATTATCCAAATCAATTTGACCTGGAAACTCTTTTCCTCTAAATACCTATCAATATCCCATGAAACCAATGTTTTATGAAACACATTTTAGAACAAGCAGTTATAAACCTATGATGAAGTAAAGCCATCCATCTAAAATTAGAACACCTAGACCAGTGATGGTAGATAGGTTATATTTCACATTCAAATTCTGGTAAATCCATATTGACTACTAAAATGATAAAACAGAAAAGATTCTACAATAGCAGTCAGATTTGGCAAGCTGCATGTTGGCCAACTTTAACATAGACCAGATCTTTTTTGAATAGCTCTCAATGAAAAGAGGGCAAGGCAATGCATCATAAATCCAAGTTCTGGAGCCAAACATTCCAGGTTGAAGTCAAAACTCTGCTTCTTTAGTCTGGGCGAGTTGTTTAACTTCTTATGGCTATTTTCCACCTGTTAAATGTGGATAATAATAGTGCTTTTCTCACACGGCTGTTGTAAAGGTTAAATGAGTAAATACGTGTTAAAGTACTAGGAAAAGTATCTGGCATATTGTAAATGATCGACATATTTTAATTATTTTCTAACGTTCTGACCCAGTGTTTGTTGGGGAAAAGCTGAATCTTTTTATTAATCAAATTTAGCTGACTACATCTGATGTATTTTCACCAAGGTAGCTTTACTAAAGATGTCTATCATTGCCTGCCCGGCCCATATTCCTGCTAAACTAAACATACTTCCTTTGTATTCCCAATTCCCTCTCCTACCCCCAACTCTCTCCCCAAGTCAGCCTAGCCAAAGTTAATTTCACAGAAGTAAATACCTATCCCAAAGTCAGATAATTCATGAGTCTGCCATCAACCATCACCTGTGGCTTGACTTGAGATGAACTCTACCAATCAAACTTTTTGCTCAGAAATTTGGGAACCTAAGAAACTGAATCAGTTGGTGGCAAACACTGAAGCCAGAATAACATTAAGAGTTAGGATCCTTAGGATCCTAGAACAGTTCTTTTTTGTTCTTTCATTTTTTTTTTTTCCTTAGTGACTAGCCAGCACCAGGGTCCGAACCCTTGACCTTGATGATATAACACCATGCTCTAACAAACTGAGCTAACTGGTCAGCCCTTAGAAAAGTTATTTTAGTAATGTTCAACTTCAGTAAACAGAGAAAGTCAATCAAGAAAAGAAAGAATATTACAGATACATGAAGAACATCTGACATATCATAAGAGATACACAGATAACAGATAGGGAAATAAACAGGAGAATAGCTGATCCCCAACACATATTGGTTCCTGCTCTTCCTGAAACCTGCTTAGTTCCCATTTCTTGAAATTCTATAGTATGGTAGTCTCTCTCAATGAATCTCTCTCTACTTAGAAGTAACTCAAGGTAGTCTACTTTTTCGAAGAAGAAAAAAAATACCATACACTGAAGATAAATAGATTTGAGTCACCAATTACACAGAATTAAACTAAAATCAATTTATCCTGCAGATCACATGCTTCTCTTAAGCATGTGAACTTAAAAATCATACTAGCAGAAGAAGTCTGCTAATAGTTGAGCTTATGGAAATAGAAAGTAGAATTATAGCTACTAGAGGCAGAAAAGGGGAGAGGAGTGGAGGGAGGCAGGAGATGGAAAGGTTGGTTGATACAAAACTACAGCTAGAAAGGAAGAATAAGTTCTAGTGGTCTACAATAGTTCTAGGCATCTATAATTAATAATAATTTAATGTATGTTCCCAAATGGCTATTAGAGAGGAGCTCAAGTACTCTCATCACAAAGAAATGATAAATTTTTGTGATGATGAATATGCTAATTACACTAATTTGATCATCACACATTGTATTCATGCATTGAAATATAACTCTGTACCACATACAATCAATACGCATCAATTAAAAAATAAATAAATTTGTTTAAAAAGAACTTTATTTTTCAACAGAATAAGTTGTGGTAACATCCCTGGGGTCAGTTTACATTCAGATCAAATGTTTTACTGACAGTTATATTACAATACATAACAATAAAAGATGTTCAGAATGATAGATCATTGTAAAGAAAAATGTTGACATTCATTACCCTGTTTTAAAATACAGGAATATATGTTTTTAAAATTTAGAAATCTAGCACTCAAAGGGTTGAACAGACATTCATTAGCCTGTTTTAAAATACAGGAATATATGTTTTTAAAATTTAGAAATCTAGCACTCAAAGGGTTGCCAATCAGCTATCTGGAATCCTCAATTTCTAGAGTAACTGGGAATCCAGATAACTAAAATTTTATTGTATCTAGAAATAACTTACAAAAGTAGATCTTTTAAGTCACTTGCCTACGAGATTTTTTTTTAAAGAATGAACAATATTAAGTTTTTAAATTATCTACCACACAAAAGGCTCGACTTTCAAGTTTAGACATACAGAATATTCCATGTTAAAAATCGTATAAAACTCTTCTATATTAAAAGTATTATAATAATTAATAAACCTTAATATCTGAAATAAGATTTTTCTGAAAGTATAAATATCTGCTTGATAAACTAACCATGTAAGGAAAAAAAAACACAGCTTCAAAAGACATCAAGGTTGGTACAGGATCACCTCTCACGGTTTTAAAAAAGGGCTATAGAAAATGAGAAAACACATTAATTTTAAAATAATGAATCCTAAGCTCAATTAGCAAATAAAATAATAAGGTTAATTTTTAAAAACTCAAAAGACAAAACTGATTTTAATATTTTTAAACTGATTATGCATGAGTGAAGTTAAATGTAAAAAATAATATTTTTACTAACCTTTATTTCCTAACATCACAGCAAGATGTAAAGGAGTGTTTCCTAAAATAAAAAAAAAAATTCAATTAGAAGGTGTAAAAACATAAAAAAAAAATTTACTTAAATGTAGTCTCAGCTCCTTCAGTAATTTAACTGATAGATTTTAATCAAAAATAAATTAGTATAGCCATAATGAAAAACAGTGTGGAAGTTTCTCAAACTATTACAGATAGAACTACCATATAACCCAGCAATCCCATTACAGGGTATATACCCAAAGGAAAGGGAAGCATCATGCTGAAGGGATATCTGCACCCCATGTTTATCACAGTTCTGATCACAGTAGCCAAGAGTTGGAACCAACCTAATTGTCCATCAACAGACAACAAGAGAAGGAAAATGTGGTATATATACACAAAGTAATACTACTCTGCCATGAAAAGGTATGAAATTCTGCCATTTGTAGCAACATGTATAAGCTTGGAGAAGATTACATTAAGTAAAATAAGTCAGGCAGAGAAAGAGAAATACTACATATTCTCACTCATATGTGGGAGCTAAAAAAGAGAACAAAACAAAGCAAGCAAACAAAAACATATAAATAATAATAAGTTGAACTGTTAAAAGGAGAGAGAACTACAGTTACTAGAGGCAAGAAAGTAACTTTCACTCTCCCTCCTCTCCCTTATCAAGCAGGCAAGAAAGGGGAAGGGAGAGGAGGGAGAGTGAAAGGTTTATTAATGTACACAAAAGTATAGAGAGATAGAAAAAATAAGCCCTACTGGGGAAATCTACAATCAATAACATTTTACTGCATGTAACCAACGACTAGAAGAGAGGAGATCAAATGTGCACATCACAAAAAAAGCATTAAGTTTCGCAATGATGAATAGGCTAATTACCCTAAATAGATCAATATACACTGTATACATATATTAAAATATAACGATGTACATAAATATGTACAACATACATAAATAGGTACATAGTTATATTTCAATATATGTATAGTGTATTGATCTATTTAGGCTAATTAGCCTATTCATATGTTTCAATAAAAAAAA